CCGCTTTCTTCTTGTATAAGGCTTTAAGGTTCCGGGCTTACAGTCTAAGGCTTTGGGGTCTTTCGAGTTTAGAGGGCTTCGGCATTTTTCCCAGTTGCAACGAGAAGGCAGGGATGGTGCAAATTGAAGGCTCCCAGACTGGCCTTCCGTTGCGCCTTATGTAAACCAAAGATATGGATTTATAGGAAGCCGCCTCTTCTGAGATTATCAAGCGACTTTTGTAGGGTCGCATGTGTTCATTTATGTATTATGCCGTGCAAGCCTGGGAGGGGTCCCTTAATTCTTGTTTTCTGAGAGGTTTCTCGCAAAGGTTCCACGCCACCTCACCCATGTGGCCATGGCCAAACCCCCCTCTTTTGTGTGGGAGAGGGTTGGGAAAATCGGAAAAGTCGAGGACCGGTGGGCAAAGCCGTCAACATGCGGGCGGAGCTCTCTTAAACGGCTGGGTGGGCCGTTGTGGGAGCCGCCCCTGCCGCACTGCTGGGAGGGGTCGGACAGGACAAGGCGGAAGCAGGGACCCCTGGCCCCGCGCAAGGGGAAGTGGGAGGGTAGCAGGCAAGGAAAAGGGCATCAACGGGGTTTGGTGGGCCCTCTCTGGCTGGGTTTTGGGAGGTTGGGTTGCCTCATTTTTGAGTGTGGCAAGAAGGGGGGGAGGGAGCTCGTCGACGTCAGGAAAGAGCCTTCAGACGCACTTGCAGCTTTGTTGCATATTCCGGCAGCCCTCGATTCGAGCACAATTAAATGCGATTGAAGTAAACATGCCATGCATAATTCATATATACAACATCTGTATCGAGCCCCTGTTTTGGGTCTCTTGGAGGGGTCTCTCCTACGACCCCTTGAGATTAGCTCTAACTCCAGACACAAGAAAGGCCGAAGGTCTGGCCCCTAAGCACCGCTCTCTGGTGACCAGTTGCAGGCACTGCAGCAAAGACGAAGTCTGAGAGCCTTTAGTCGGAGATCTACCGAAGAGGAAGTGGAGGTTTGGGGCATGGGTCGTCTTTGGGTTTAAGAAGGATAGCCTGCTAAGGTTTGAGGTATCGCCAATTTCTGTAGCGTCCCAACAGATCTCTAGAGTTTATAAGGGTTTAGAGTCTAGAGTAGATCAAGATGGGAGTTTCCGAAAATAGGGGGTACTTTATTTGGGGTCCGTATAATAAGGATCCTACTATTTAGGGTCCCCTATTTTCGGAAACTCCCAGATGGCTGTTCGGAGGGCGTGGAGTTTGAGCTGTTCAAGAACCCTCAGCGCCCAAGAGCCGTAAGCTCTCACAACACCCTAAACCCCTAAACCCTAAAACCGTTGAAGTGCTGCCTGGTTCCTAGTATCCCTGTGAAGGGCTGGAGAAACCCATGACCTGGAGCCCAGAACCTCTCTGAGCCTAAAGGGGCGAGGATTTGCAAGGTCAACTCACGAGCTAGGCACCAAAAGCTGCCAGCATCTGGGACTGCCGCTATAAGAGGGAAAAATGCCGCCATTTGAGTTCCTTGTTCTTTCGTCACATGGGAGGAGACGACGAGGTACATGTTTGCCAATTTCTTTCCGTGCAGAAACTTACAAAATCCGGTTCTTGCCCGCCCACTGTGAGTGCTGTGTATCTCTCAGAGAAGAGCAAGCTAGCTCTGTTGTTTGTGCTGACATATCTAGAAGGCCCCTGGTTCTGCATCTTTCGGCCGGAAGAAGCCCAGACAATTGTAGTTTGCACTGATCCAGTTCTCGCTTTTGCCGGCTGCATCTACGATGCAGACAGCTGCTTGCATCTGGCCTGGAGGGAGCTGTGTGCCATGAGCGTGCAGCGGGCGAAACTAGCTCTTGTGCTCTGTGCCTGTGGTTGTTTAAGTGACTTCTGTAGGAGGCTTGCGCTTGGATTTTTGCGGTAATCTAGCAAACTAGTATCCTTTATAATTAGCCCTTTTTACAGTCTGCCATACCCAAAAGCATTATGCTGACTATGAAGACCCGACCGTATTGCGAGATTCAGCTCATTATTGTCAAAGTCAGCTCAGGTGTCTTCGGGACCTTGTCCCAGGCTTCGCGCCCGACGCGACAGGACGATGTGCTCTCGCTGGAAGGCGGCGGAACAGCCGCCACCACTAGAGGACCTGATGCCGCAGAGAACTCGACCGGAAGCCTCCTTCCCAAGGCTTGCGGAGGTGATGGCATCATCTACCTGGAGGAAGGGGTGACTTACTTCACAGAGAAATCCAATCACAGCATACCGGAGAACTGCCATACTCTCCAGGGAGCTCCTTCTTCGAGCATCCTCCTGTATGCCGGCATCAGCTTTGCCAGCACCCGTGCTGTTATCCGTGGCCCGCTGCAAATATCCATGGCGCCGGACGTTGAAACCCTGAGCTCTCCTGCTATTCGGAGTGCGGGCAGCTTGCAAGCATCCTCGCCGAAGGATGGTCCACTAGAGTTCAAAGGCATATCAAGTTCAGATTGGGGCGCTGCCCTGTCTGCATCAGGTAGTATCCATCTGGACGGTGAAGGCACTATGGTCTTTGAGAACCTGCGAAGCTCCGGAGCATCTGTAGCACACAGCCATTTTTTCGATGTGAACAGCACGGTAGCCCACTTACAGGTTCGCAATGTCACTGCCGAACGTGGGTCCGGGGCCATCTATGGGGGTGGCCAAGTTCACATTGACAGCAATGGCACCGTGCTTTTCGAGAACTGCACCTGCAAACGCCGGGGGGCTGCCATTGCAAGCATCGGCCAATTGAAGCTGACAGGAGACGCAGTATTTGTCTTCGCAAAGTGCAACAGCACCACTGCCGGAGTGGCAGGAGGTGGTGCCCTGTCGAGCTTTGCAGATGTGGTGCTGCAGCTTGGCACGAACGGATCCGCCGTTTTCAGGCAGTGTTGGGCAGAAGGCTCTGGCGGTGCCATCTACAGTGGCAGCGACATGAACGTCACTGGCGGAAGCATCTCTTTCGAGGGCTGCCGTGCCGGGAGCGGAAATGGACATGCAGTAGCGGCAGGCACTTGTCCGTCCATGCAGTTCAGGGTTGAGGGAAGTTTAGTGTCCACAAGCACAGGACGTCTATACAGGGGGGTTAAGGTGCGAGGGGGCGACTGAGCTCTTTGCCTACTGCCTAGCTGCGACTTTGAAGTGTCAGGCAACGGCCTCCTCCAGATCAGTGAGCTGACCATGGTCGCGCTTGAAGGCATGGAGAGCTACGTCGGCTCGCCCATTTTCGCTCGCAGTGCAGCCATCCCAGTTGGTGGGGACCTCCTCCCGGAGGATGTGTTTCAACTGGAGGAGCTGATGGCAACGAAGCCAGCCAGCCAGGGTGACGACACATGTCCGGCAGGTTCTAGATTCACTCTTGACAGAACCGGCGCCCCAATCCCCGGCAAGTGCTGGATGTGTGGATCCGGGACGGTGTCGCTGGCGACTTCAATTGTGCAGGTTGAAGGCCAAGTTGCGAATTCTGAAGACGGTATGCGCATTGTTCTCGTTGGGCGAGGATCTCCCAATGCCATCCAGCCCTTCCGGTCGGACAACAGATCGAACGGAGAGAGCTCGAAACAATGCAAAGGCCCTGGCTGTTGCTTGGGCCTCGCCCGTGGTGAGTGGGAGCCCGGTTGGGACATCTTTCCGGTCACTCTGGGACAGCAGAATGAGTCGGCATTCACTTTTGATCGTGGCATCTTCAGGACACTCTCACAGCATTTTAGGATCGCACAGGCTTGCATGTGCTCTTTTTGTTTTCAACTGCTCCCTGTGGTGCCCAAGCCCCTTCTGGCCAGATACAACATCACCGGGGGGGTCGAGCAGCTTTTGCACAGCTTCCGAAGATTAGTCAACTGCAGCTGCCTAGGTTCTAATGTGGAGCATTCCTCCGTTTCGTTTAGCTGGTGAGTTCCCGGAGTGACGGAGTGAATTTGAGGGGCAAGCGCAAGGAGCCAAGCAAATTACAACACAAACTACCCCCTGACGCAGGTCTGACCCGCTATGAGTTATCAGTGGACAGCGCAAACACACACACACACAAAAACAAAAACAAAAAACAGAAATGGTTCAGTGCTGCCGTTTCGGCAAGTGACATGTCGCATGGCGGTGCCAATGCAGGGAGGGGCGGGTAGCGAGGTGGAAGATAAAATAGTATCACCTAACAAAATGTCCGAGGCATCACGCCTGTGGAACACACAAAAGGCTGAAGTGGACTGTTTTCCGCACGGTTTGTGCTTGGGCCAGGTCTCATCCATCCAAGCTTAATAATAAGAATAATAAGAATAATAATAATAATAATAATAACAACGCAGAATAATAATAATAATAATAACAATAATAATCATAATACAGGCACGGCATCCCAAGCTCGAGTCCTGAGCTGAAACTTAACCTTGAGTTTCGAGCCGTGAAGAAGACATGAAGCCACCATGCGTTCGCATAGTCTGCATTTGGAGCCCTAGATGCTCAAAGTCTGATCTTGGTTTTGCTGTCGTCCCAAGCCTTCCCCAAAGGACTGCAGAAGGCTGGATGCTTGCTGTGCCTTATAACTCCTACGTTCCCAACACCCCGGTGGCCTTCATCAAGGGCTTGGACGGCCTTCCTTGGAGCAAAAGCAGCGAGACAGGCATGTTCCAAGTGGACGAGCGTGGCCATATCAGCCCGACACAAGCCCCGGATCTGGTTTTTGGCATTGATCATGAGGTGAGCTACGCTTTTCGACCCAAAAACCCTTACTTGGCTTGCCTCCCGTGCCATGACGTTGCAAGCGAGATGGCAGACAAGACTCAGTGCCGCGGTGGAACATCAGCAAGCTCGCTTCGAGGCTACATGCTCCTTCACGTAGCAGGACCGGGGAGGGCGTCGGTTACTCAAGAAGCATTCTCGTGTCCATTGTTGCCAGTTCCTTCCAGAATTTCTAGTTACAGTAGTTGAGTCATCCTAAAAGCCGAAAAATTCCGGTTAGTTGCCCGTATTCATCTTTATGCTGGGGTCGATTGACAATTATCACTGCTGTTAGTCTGCCGCATTATTTTTCGACAACAGCGGCGCAGGGAAGCAGAGGCTAGACGTCCATTACTGCCCCAACCGCGTGGCCTGCCCCTGGGATGCTCTTGAGCATAACTTTTCATGCTGCTAGTTGGTACTAGCCTAAGAGGGATTGGTCTGAAGCTGCAAGCTCAGGAACCTTAAGAGAACCCTGCATGTAGGTAAGACCCCAGACATACGAAACACAACAGCCAAGGTCCTGGCAGCAACCTCAGCCTCACTAGTACCGGCGAGCTAGCTTCTCGGAGTAGGCTCTGCGCCAAAGGCCTCTTGCTTTGACTCGTCGAAGTTGAGGCTTTGATGTGAGGCTTGTTGGAGTTAGCCGTTTTGGAGGTTACGGATTAAGGTTTGCTATTTGGGGTTATTGTTGTTGACTGTAGGGTCGTAAGTTTCGGGAGGCTCTACGGTTGATGATGTAAGTCCTGCACTACCCATAATGAGGAATATACCATAAATCCCATAGTTTAGGGTCATTAAGGTCATGCAGGATTGATATCATCAACCGTATGGGTGATAACCCTTACAAACCCCTTGCAAAACCCCACGTCCTCAAGTCCTGCCCCTTGAAGCCTGCATAAACCCCAAAATGAAAACCTGCAAGTCCGGACCGAAGGTAGACCCCCCTTTAAAAGCCAATGTGAAAAGCCGTATACAGCCCTAAACCCTCACCCCTAAACCCTAAACCCCTAAACCCTAAACCCTCGGAACACCCAAAGTCAAGATCCGGCGGCCCAAGGCTACCAGAGCAGCCCGGGCTGCGTCCGCTGCGCATCCGGCTACGGCCGACCTTTCCTGGATCCCTTCACTTGCCATCCCTGTGGAGGCTCCGTAGGGGTTCCTTTAAAAGGGCTCTATACAAAAAGGTTATGCTATAAGGGACACTATTTGGGCTCTATGATATAGGGGCCTGAATAAGTAAAATAGTGTTTTGGGGGTTCCTTATTATAGTAATAGTACAATATACCCCCGAACCCTATTCCATTTTTGAACGCCCCTATATTTTCGGGGTTGATGGAATGGTTCAGGGTTGAGGGTTCGGAGTCTAGCGTTTCGGGTTCAGGGTTTTCGGGTTTAAACTTTAAACACCCTATAACGAATCGAATAGTGCAATTCGAATCAAGGAAATTCTAAGCACGCTCAAAAACGCTGTAGAGCCCCATGGAACTCCAACGAAACGGGCACTCCCCGCTGCCACGGCCGAGGATGGTCTTTGCTGCAGCAGGTGGGGGCAGTTTACCAAGACATATTCACAGGTTGAGGGGATTTAGTGCTCGCGGTTTTTTGAGCTTGGGCGATGCAAAGAAGAGTAGTAAAATGGATGGTTGTACTAATTATGGTCCCTTTTTGGGACCCGATTGTAGCACGGCACCTATTATTTAGGGTACCCCCAAAAGGGGCTATAATTATTTTGACCACCACTCATATGGTTTTACAAATGGATCCTAGAAAAATGCTATTGCTAGTTGTTAGGAAGTGTCAGGCGATCCGGAAGTGGGCTTACAATGCACAGTTTGAAGATTGGAGTGGGAGTTTTTTTGATGGAGGGGATGAGCAGGACCCGGTATGGTTTAGGGCTTATGGGGTAGACTATATAAAGCATACATATACATGTGTGTATATATATATATATACATAAGCTATATGTGAAGGGTTATGAGTAGATAATCCGAATTGGGGCACTTGTAAGCCTATATATACATAGATAAGCTATATGTGAAGGTTTACTGGTAGGTAGACAAAATTGGGGTCCTTGTAAGCCTACTTTATACAGAACCGTTCTAGTCATTTAGGGTCGAAGGTTGAGTGAGTGTGTGTTATATCAAAGGTTTCCGAGTTTAAGAAAATTATCGGCTTCGTGATAGTTTAGGGCGGGGCTTACGCCTTTCAGGTCTAGGGTTATAGAGCTTACCAGGGCTTGGGGTTTATGTCTCAGCTGTACAACATCATCAGAATCCCGTTCGGTTTGCTGCGAGATATGGGATTAGTGCCCAGTTGCGGTCCCTCTGCGCAACGCATTGGACGCCTATGCCTTGAAAGTAGGCCAATTACCCAAAAGGAACCCAAACCTAAACCCTGATAAGCTCCCAGCCGCAACACGCAACCGGCTCTGGCTGTTCCGAAGCCGCGTTCACTGCCTCGCACTCCGGGCCACATTAAGGCGTCCTATAGGTCCTACGGCCATAAACCCAAACTGGCTGCCTCAATTACTCTTCAGGTGTTTTCTTCCTTTAGGGCCTATCTCTTGGTGCAGTTACCATATACCCCAAAACCCGAGTCCAATCCAAAACGGTTTAGGGTCTATAGGATTTAGGGTTTAGTGTTTAGGGTTTCCCAGGTGGGCATGGCTGTTCTCTCCAGCGGCCTCTTTTACGCCCTGGCTCTCAGCTCTGCCAGACCGCGCACCGACACGCAGCAGATCTTCAAGGCGGGCGCGGGGTTTTGCTGGTTGTGTACAGGTTTTGAGTATGGCAATTCTTTTACACCGCTGTGTTTCAAAAATTAGGGTTTCGAGCAGCTTGCGGAATTCCGGTCCGCGCCGGTTTGGTAGGATGCTTAAATCAATCCTCCAATCGCTTCATTTTGCCGTATAAAATCAGGAATAGGTGAATGGGTACTGGTGCCGACACACTTTTGCATGCTGTTATAGGAAAAGTTCACAGAAATAGGGGACCCTAATATAATACCCTAAATAGTGGGATCCCTGTAATAATAAGCTCACAGCATGTCGCACGCACTGCAATTTTATTCCACTAAACCGACTAAACTCTTAACCCAAAGGGTCCAAAGTACCTTTATAGTATATAGAATGTAGGGTTTCTATATTAGGAATTACGATTATGATTTGGGGAAGTATCCCCCATAACAGTACTTTGGACCCTTTGGGTACGCCTTAAGCCCGAAGACCCTTAATGACATATATAAGACCCCGAGACACCCAAGAGAGAGCCCTGGCAAGAGAAAAATCAACTGTGAGAGACCCCAGCCCCAAAACTCTTGGATGCTGGAAAGTTTACCCCAAAGCCTATCTCAACCTCAACCCTAAACCCTAAACCTAAACTCGAAAGGGTTGTGGGATGCAGATTGATCGTGAAGGACTTAAGTTAAGAGTTCAGGATTAAGTGTTCCTTGGCCTGGGTTGAATTCTTTCACAATCCACTCCCCACCAGCATGTTACTGCGACTCTCAAGACCCTAACATGAAAAACCATCCGAGGTTTTCCTGGCATTCCTCACCATCTCTTGCCGGAGTCTCTCAGCCTTGCCCAACACGCGGCACTACAAGAGATTGAAAGATGACATCTATGCCTCTGCTCAGGCACGGAATCAAAGTCCACAGCATTGGCTTGAGCCTTGTTTTGCTTTGTTTTCGGTTGCAGCTACTTCTGCTATTGCTGCTGCTTCTACTGCTTGGGGTCGGAGTAGGGTTGTGATTTCCAATCTTGGGCAGCAGGCGCTGTACCGCTGCCTCTTTGCGGTGGACCTGGTGATCAGCACCGAGCCAGGGCAGCTCGGATGCGGTGTTCGTGTTTCGACCTTGGGCTTTGGGGTGCATTGATTGAGACTTCAGGGCACTACAGATTTTGGGAGCCAGTCCAGGTCTATGAACTCCGCCTACGACTGCTGGGGATTGGTTGATGGTCCAGTAAACTTGTACTGGAACATCTTCCTATCGTGGTCCATCCCGACAGCTTTGCTGCTGTTGTCTTGGTGCTGGCTCGGCAAGCGTGGTTGGCTGAAGGCCCTGGTGGTCTGGGGGAACGTTTTCGTCCCGCCCCTGGTCGGGGCAGCCGCCAAGCTTCTGCCCTGCTTCTCCACTCAGGCAAGTCAACGAAAAACAGCATCCCCACACCTCCAATCATGCGACATCCATGACCCGAAGTGTTTAGGTCAGTACCGGAAAAGCCATGCTTCCCGAACCCGCGAACATTAGCCAGGCTGGGGGCCCACGGATCCTCATGTACGAGGCTGCCTTTGGCACGCCCTGCGTCGCCAACTTTTCGCTTCTCCTGAAGCTGCCGCGATTTTGGCTGGCTGCTGGGACGAGCCTCCTGCTACTTCTTCTGGGACCCCTCTTGTGGCTCGCGCTGGCAGCGAGGGATCTGGGGAAGGACAGATGTCCGTCTCTGTGTGACACCTGTACTGCAACACATACACGGGGTTTAGGATTTGGAGGCGAATTTATATACAAGCCTGAGAAATTAATTAGTTACTTATATTATTCCTTAAGGCTCCTGATAAAACTAGTTATGTTTATATACTTATAAGGAGCCCGCAGCTCTGTTCTAAGCATGAAGGCCCCTCTATGAAGCCCCTGGGTTTGTCGCAACGGCTCCACTCTTCAACTACAATCAGTACCTTCGGCAAAGCGTTCTGTTTTCAAGCCTACTCAAACGCAAACACATGCAGGTCGAGTTGAGGCATCGCTTCGCTTGCGTAGTCTCCTTTATCACCGTGTCACCATTTTCTGGCCGGGGGGGAAGGTTCCCCGAATTCGTTTTTGGGCAGTTTTGGAAGATACCGGCACCAAAAACAACAAGCTGGCTTAAAGGGGGCAGCTTGCGGATGCTCCAACAACATTCTCTCTGCTTTCTATGCATGACCTTTCAAGTAGACCCGAAACCTCATGGCTTGGACAGCCTGCCACCCCAAATCCTGAGAGCTCCCAAAACGTGAACCTTATAACTTCAAAGCCCTTAAACCCCCAAACTCCTACATCCCCTGAGATCTTCAAAACCTGACCCTCCAGGATAGCCTATGCGGTACGCTGGCACCGCCAGGCCTTAAAGTTTAAAACCCTTGAACAACTTCCACATAAGATCCCAACAGGAGCCTCATTATATGTGTGCGCTAAACATATTATAAACAAATATATATATATATATATATATATAAATATATATATATATATATATATATATATATATATATATATATGGTAACCCCCCCCGGGACCAACCTCGGCCATTGTCCTGCTCATTACTGTCTTCACAGCGTCATGAATAAGAGCCGAAACCACTGTAAATACCGATGGTGTTTGTGTTCCCGTACAAAGTTTGCACTCTCGACGCCTCTTGACAGACTGGTAAAAAACAGGGCCCAGTTTTATGGACACCATTTACACTCTCGGCGCGTCTTGTCGGAGTGGTAAAAGACAGAGTCCAGTTTGTGTGCCTCATCCTTTATTAATTATTGTCATCTTGTCAAAGTCTTATTATTAGTTTCAGTCTCAAAAAACAGTGTTAACATTGGTCTTGACTTAATTGTGTTCTAAGTTTTAACCTCAACTATTGTGAGTAGTAACCTTAATATTTTTGCTAGCGTTAGCATTATTATTAGTTTTGTGTCATTACTAATTTTAGAAGTTCTAACAATGCTGCTGGTATCTGTCCAATATTACTGTTCGTTTGATTAGTGTTCCTGTTAGTGCTGATGCTGGTGTCAGTGTCAACGTCAGTGTTAGTCTTAATATTAATATGAGTATTAGTGCTCCAGTTTAATTTAATATATGTCTATAGCAGTGTTAGTGTTAGTGTTCGTGTTAGTATTCGTATTAATATTAGACGTGGGCTGGGCTTTAAAAACTTAGTCTTAGTACATTATGTGTATAAGTATTCATATGTGTATATTCAGTATATTGGTATATAAACAAAACATATATATTCATTAAAAAAATTTTGGGGTATACTCGTATATTGGTATATTAGTAACAATGGTCTATTGGTATATCAGTTTCTCAGTATATTAATATATTAATTTATTAGTATATTAGTATAATACTATGACCGTACATATTGGTAAATGAAAACATTGAGTTTTTAACAATCTGATGCATTCATTTCCTTGTGCCTTATTCTGATGTATTCTTTAGTATACATTACAAAAACGATATTGACATTAATACGTGATATTAACATGAGTTGTCATCTTGTCAAAGTCTTATTATTAGTTTCAGTCCTAAAAAACAGTGTTAACATTGGTTTTGACTTAATTTTGTTCTAAGTTTGAACCTCAATTATTGTGAGCAGTAACCTTAATATTTTTGCTAGCGTTAGCATTATTATTAGTTTTGTGTCATTACTAATTTTAGAAGTTCTAACAATGCTGGTGGTATCTGTCCAATATTACTGTTCGTTTGATTAGTGTTCCTGTTAGTGCTGATGCTGGTGTCAGTGTCAACGTCAGTGTTAGTCTTAATATTAATATGAGTATTAGTGCTCCAGTTTAATTTAATATATGTCTATAGCAGTGTTAGTGTTAGTGTGTGTTAGTATTCGTATTAATATTAGACGTGGGCTGGGCTTTAAAAACTTAGTCTTAGTACATTATGTGTATAAGTATTCATATGTGTATATTCAGTATATTGGTATATAAACAAAACATATATATTAATAAAAAAATTTTTGGGTATACTCGTATATTGGTATATTAGTAACAATGGTCTATTGGTATATCAGTTTCTCAGTATATTAGTATATTAATTTATTAGTATATTAGTATAATACTATGACCGTACATATTGGTAAATGAAAACATTGAGTTTTTAACAATCTGATGCATTCATTTCCTTGTGCCTTATTCTGATGTATTCTTTAGTATACATTACAAAAACGATATTGACATTAATATGATGTTTGTAAATTCATATTGGTATTGTTATTAATATGAGTATGTAATAATGTTTCTATATTTGTATGAGCACAAATAATTTTGCTAGTATTACGCATGTTCGTACTAGCCGAAGTATTAGTGCTCATATTAATATCAATATGGTTCTAAAGAGACTATTAATGTCGGTATTCGTACTGAGAATAATTTTGTTAAGAACATGAGCATAAATACCCGTAGGAATATTCATACCTATGCTTGTATTGGTATTAATACTCGTATTAGCATGAGTACTAGCATTAGTACGTATCTAGGCATGACGATTCTTATATGAATATAAAAGGGGAACATGATTATTAGTATTCGTAAGAACATTAGTTTTCCTATACATTAATGCTAACTAATATTACTATGCATATTAGTATTGGCAAGAACATTAAAGTTCGTGTTCACATCAATTCTAAAATTGGTATTAGTACAGTTTTTTCAATATTAGGAGTAGATACTAGTAGTAGAATTAAAATTAGTATGAACAAAACATGCGTTGGTATTCGTCGGAATATGAAACTTGAGGTTACTCTTCGTATGAGTTACTAGTACTACTGAAAAACATACCAATGCTGATATTAATACGAATGCTAACATTCATGTATGAGCATGTTATTATGCACGTTCGCACTAGCCTTAGTGCTAATATTAGCATGAATATGAGTACTCCAAAAATGAGTAATTTCACGAATATGCATAGCCAATATTCATACTAGCGATAATACTAGCTATAGTATGTATATTAGTATTCGCATCAAGACTATTCATACAATGTACATGATTTCAAGTATTCTTGGGAACATCAGTATTCATACTAGCATACTATCAGTTTCACCAGTAGTATTACTATAAGTATTAGTACTCGTATGAGTATTATAGTTTTCAAAGTTTTCAAAATAATATCAATATTACTACAAGTATCAGTTGCACAGACACGTCAACCGGCGACGTCGCGAGGTCGAGTTCCCTAAATTCTCTAATCACTGCTTCCATGCCTCGAATTTACAGAATGCGTGAGTTCCTGCAGACTCCCTAAATCCCTAAAGTCTTTACATACCCTAATTTCCAGCCCCATGTGTTGGTTTTAGCGCATCCCCTAACATTCCTGACTCCCAGCCCGGACCATGTGTTGGATTTAGGGAATTCCCTAAATTCCCTAATTTCCCTAAATTCCCTAAATTCCCTAAATTCCCTAATTCCCTACCCCATGTGTTGGATTTGGGGAATTCCCTAAATTCCCTAAATTCCCTAAATTCCTTAGGGAATTTAGGGAATTTAAGGAATTTAGGGAATTTAGGGAATTTAGGGAAATAGGGAATTCCCCAAATCCAACACATTGGGTAGGGAATTAGGGAATTTAGGGAATTTAGGGAAATACCTGCATCCAATGGGTAGGGAATTAAAAAATTTAGGGAATTCAGGGTTGGTCTTGGGGGGGGGGGGGGCTAGCATATATATATATATATACAAGCAAGCAACAAACAAACTAACAACAATACAAACAAACAAACAGCCAGCCAGCCAGGCAGACAGGCAGACAGACATGTATTTATATACGTATGCAAGTATGCATGCACGCATGCATGTATGTATGTATGTAAGCATGTTAGCATGTATGCATGTATGCAAGTGTGTTTGTCTCTGTGTGTGTGTGTGCATGTGTGCCGGTGAGCATGGTGCATGTTCCCATGCTCTAGGTTATAGGTTATATGTAGATGTATATGTATATGTTACATTGTGTATATAATTCATTACATGCACATGTGATATATATATATATATATGTGTATATATATATATATATACAAGCGCTTTGACGAAGACCCTCCGACCCTTGTGAGACCCTCTTAAAGCCACGGAAGAGGAGCTCTGGGACGAACGGAGGGAGACAGTGGCCTTCTTGGTGGCGGGCTACAGGCCAACGTTCCGATGGTGGGAGGCAGAGAAATTGGGTTCTGGAGTACCATGGGCCATACGGTTTAGGGTTTAGGGTTACGCCATACTTGAAGGCTTTTTGTTGGACCTTTTCCAGATAGGAACCATTATGAAGTAAAAGTCTATACTTTCTTCCCCCTGGTTGCTTCAAAAGTCCAGAAAGGGTTTCAGCTTGAGGGCCCTTGAACATTTTACGGTTTGGAGTCTATGTGTCTTCTTTTTGGCTTTTGCTTTTGGTTGGCCGCCTTGACAACGAAGTGCCGATGAGGCCTGGGAGGTGAGCGAACTGCGTACATTACCTATAGTCTCCATTGTAGTTCCTTTTTTTGGTTAACTAATTTTATGGCTAGGATACTGTAATAGAGATTTCGGTGAACCCAAAAAGGAACTACAATGGAGACTATGGGTAGAACGAATAGCATGGATACGCTTGGCGAGGACATGCGCTTGTTCCGCCTGCAAATGGTCATGTGCAATGACATGTATTCTGGGTGCCAAAAACGCACATTACCTATGCCTATACATCTCTAAACCTTCACCCATTATCAGAGGCTCTGAAACCCCTTGCTCAAAGAGCATAGCTTATTAATTAAGTCATTTGGATGATCCCTCCACAACTGAAGGTAAATTCCTTAATTGCGGGACTCGTGAGGTGTAGTAATACGGCACTATGGTCTGCAACTAACCCAATAGTCTGCCTTTCTAGGCCCTATACATTGACGGTAGAGTAGCCCAAACCTATACCCCCTAAACCCCAAACCCTGATACTATCGAAAGACAGGTCATGGTCCTTGGGAGAAAAGCAGCCCCTCGGAGCTTATTGGGACATCGAGCTTTTCGTTGTTGCAAAGTGTCTTCAATGCGTGTTTCTATGGTACATGTCTAGGATGCCCAGTAGTACCCTTATTCCCTTTTTTGTAGTCCCAGGTTCCTTATACAGTTACCCAATACCAAAAAGGGAGCCCTTTTCATACCTAGGTTACTGGGCATCCTAGATGTTATTTTAGAGGAACAACGCGTAACGCTGAAGCCTCGTTTAGACCATGGTCTTATGAAGGTTTTAGGGTTTGGGGTTTTGGGTTGGGGTTTTGGGTTTAAGGTTTAGGGTTTCAGGGCTTAAGGTCGTGGTTTTAAATGGCCTGCAAGCAGAACCCAGGCCATCTTCGTTGTGGCGACGTTGCTTCCCATGTCCTGGGCACCCGGGGCTCACTTGGTCTATCTCCTGGGCAGCCCGGCAGGAGTTGGGCTTTGGCGACTTCATGGTTCGGATTTAGGGGCTTCGGGTTGCGGGCTTATACGGGTTCAGGGGCAAACATACAAACCAGTGCGTCTGTGGTGAGGCTCATTGAGTGAAGACTTTCGGGTATTCCTCCTAACAGTTCCCTCATAGACTTTCATTAATTATTGTTGAAACCACTGAAGTCATAGTCGAAGTGCTTGTGGCTAGACTGTTATGGCAGCTTGAGGCATCATGATTGTGGCAGAGCTCCTACACATCACCATCCGACCATATGCCAGCACTCTATTAAACCGACTGGAAGCACAGATGCTGGGAATCTCCTCGGCGTGCTTGGTGCTTGTAATTTCTTTGCTAGTCGAGTGGCCTTTCATGCCCTACGCCATTTACGTTGCAAGCAGCGCTCTCTTCTTCGCACTTACCATCGGGGTTTACATGTACTTTCTCTGGCTCTACATCCGCAGCGCATTCGCCAAGACGCCCGACATGGGGGAAGAGGACAAAGCAGAGGAGCAGGGCTAACAGTCCGAAAAAGCATCAGGCGGAAACAGACGACTGGAGATGCTCGCACACATGCCGATGGTACTCATGTTAGTCTCGTGTCACAGTACTTCTTGATCCGGATAGGTATTGCAGCACAACATTTCTTTCTTGGCAACACATCTCAGAGCCGCATTTAGCTACACTACACTCAATTTGCGGCAAAAAACGCATGAGAGTCGTACTGGCAGCACTAAAAGCAACAAGTGCGACATGCCCGGTACTTGCGAAGGGTAGAGGCCTAAACCCTGGTCGTTTCATAATACCAGTAGACTGAATTTCCACGATGCTTAACACCCAATTATGCCGAAAAGTCCTGGTCACACTGAAAATCGTTCCCCAGCGTTTCGAAATCACCAAACAACAGACTCCCTATCTGACTACAAAGGTGTTGATGTCTTGTGCTCTTCCTGCCTCACTCTGTTTCGCAGCTCTTCTCGCTCTCTGTTTCTCTGTCTCCCTCTCTTGCTCTTGCTCTTGCTCTCTCTCTCTCTCTCTCTCTCTCTCTCTCTCTCTCTCTTCTCTCTCCTCTCTCCCCTCTCTCCCTCTCTCTCTCTCTCTCTCTCTCTCTCTCTCTCTCTCTCTCTCTCTCTCTCTCTCTCTCTCTCTCTCTCTCTCTCTCTCTCTCTCTCTCTCTCTCTCTCTCTCTCTCTCTCTCTCTCTCTCTCTCTCTCTCTCTCTCTCTATTTCACTATCTAACTATCTACCAATCTTTCTTTCTCCATCCATCGCTCGTCTCCCCAACCTTCCATCAGTGTGTAGGCTGCATAATGTATGTTCTCTTGACATACTCAAACATACCGAAATGCTTACATGCTAGCAAAGGGTTGGCTCGTGCCTGCATGACTGCATGCGCACGCGACGCCAGATGGCCAAGCAAGTGTTCACACGCACATCATGCATTTGCACTCGGCTCGACACGTCGCAGCTTCTCAAAGGGTAGGAGAGGCAGGGACACGGCTGCGGGCCAACATGTAGCCTGGGATACAGTGTTCACATGCTTCTGAGCTTGGCTGATGTTCATCTGGACATGTATAAGATGATAGTTGCCGCATGCATGTGCCTACATGCAAAATGACGATGTTTCGTTCCACAGTCCCGCACCCACAGTCGCCGACCAACGGTGCACTCGACATTGTTGTTTGACCACTGACAACTTCGACTACACCCTTACAGAGCGCATCGAGCACAACCCTGCAAGCCCCATTCCGAGCTCAACCCCTACACCGCAGCCCCACCGATCCTCACCCCTCGACACCCTGCAACACCCCGCCCCCTTAAGCCCACAGCCGCAAGCAATATCTCCCATGAAACCGATCTTACACCCCGAAACCTTAAAACCTCAAGGCCCCAACCCCCACCCTGGCTGCATGCTCCGCGGTGGGAAAGACTCTTGACTCCTGAGTCTGGCGTGGAGCCAAGGTCCGCGGGTCAACATACTTGCCTTCGGTTACTAGGGAACGGAAGAACTGGTAGTACTAGTAGTTATAATTATACCCCATTCCTCCATTCCCTACTAGGGTAAGCATAGAAGCCTAAATGATCACCAATAATTGGTATTCTTTAGGGTTCCTTTTTGGAACTGTACTAGCATCGATCGAAAGCAGTCTATCTTTTCCACTCACAGTGATGTCTTGAGTATTCTTGCTTCAGGAATTATGGCGTCGGTATTCAGGTTGTACAGGTTTGCTGGTTTCTGAAGTTTGATGTTGAAGTGCACGTGCTTATGGCCTCCGGCATGGGTTTTGTGGGGCTGCGGTTTCTGCGTCTAGGCTGTGTCTCTGGGGCTGTCGGGATGCGTAAGATCGTAGGAGCTGCGGAACACCTGCAAGGACTTTTTCAATGGTTCCGTTGCATGCGGTCCACGGTACTCTATTGCTCCTTTTCAATACATCCTACACCCCCTAGCCCCAAAGTCCTAACTCCCAAACTTTGTCTATTGGTAACGACTTTTCTTGGGTTCTAAGGAGTTCTGGGTTCGGCAGCCTTGGGGCGGGTGTGGGGTTCAGGTTATCGCGCTCTTGAGCCGTTGAAAGCCGGCAGGAATGGCAGCAATAGCTTCGGCAGGGGCCTCGGGTCAGTCGCCAGAGTTTTCCGTTGGACTTGTCCTCTTCTTACAACTGAGGGATTGTGTGCCCTTACTGTCCTTCATACTACACATATTTTGTCTAGTTGATACCCCAAAACCCTATTCCAATCATTAAAGCCCCTCTGGTGGGGTGTCGAATGAAGCCGGCACCTTTAACTCGATGAGGATGGGAGTCATGGCCTAGTAACGTTAGGCTAATCGAAGGCGCTGCGGGAGTGATTCTGGCTTTAGGGTCAAGGAAGTATAGGCTTTCATAGTCCGCATACGCGAGCCTTCGACTGAAACAGGGCGTCTCTGTACTCTCCAACTCCTCCCCATAAAGGCTGACACCTGGGAGCTCAAACCCCGGTGCACTACACTCTACCCACTCTACCTAGAGGCTTATACCCTCACCCCTTTTTTTAGGGCGCCTACTTTTCAAGATAACAGATCCTAACCATAACGCTAGGCATCCTCCGAAAGCCTCGAGGCTCAAGGCTTTGCTTCCCTAATGCCTGGGGGTTTAGAAGAAAAACAACAAGAGGGTCTAGGGTGTATAGGGTCAACAGGGTTTATAGGTTTAGGATTTATAGGGTTTAGGGTTTATAGGGTTTAGGATTTAGGGTTTAGGGGGTTTAAAAGTGTTCGTACTATAACAGAGCCAAAGCTCCAAAAAGCTCCGGCCCTCGATGCCTCCAGCTCGGAGCCCTTAAGCCTCAAGGCCTGGAGATACTTAGAGCCCTACAAATAGGCTCTAGAGTTGCTCCTATTTGGGGGAGTACCTTAGAGGATTCTAAAAATGTGAGGCCCTAAAAGGAACCACTATGGAGCCTCTCGGTAGGGCCTTGGAATCCTAGAGCCCGGAAGCCGGAAGTTTCATAAATCCTAAACCTTGAAGGCAACAAACCCCCCGAAAGCCGAAAGCCCTTGCGCGTTATGCCATTCAGCCTTAAGAAGTAGCCACTGAACCCCAAGCCGAAAGCCGAAAGCCCTAGTGCATTGTCACATTCAGCCTCCCTAAACCCTAAACCCTAAACCCTAAACCCTAACCTTCATAAAACCCGTAAACCCCCTAAACCCCCCCAGACCTTTACCCCTGAAGCCCGGCTCCTGAGTCTGTAATCCCGGGCCAGTCAAAAAAGTTCTGAACTGGGCTTTGGAGTACCATACTTTAATACTTTTTCTGGGACCTGTTCCCTTCAAGGGAACCATTATGAAATGAACGTCTGTTTTTTCTCTTTGGTTGCTTCAAAGTCCAGTTAACGTTTCGCCGTTGTGTTGGCCTCCTGGCTACCTTATGAACCCTTTCGCACCTCGTAGAACTTGTGCCCCCTCTGAAGCCCCATAAGATCCTTAACCCCTACACCCGTCAAAAGCTTTGGACAAATCGCCTAACATAAGGACGTGCTGCGCAAGCCTAAACCCTAAACATCCCTAAGCTCAGAAGGCCCTAAACCTCTGAAGCCTCAGGGGGTGACGCCTGCCGTCGCCAACAACTCCGCCTCAGGTCCCCCGGCGGCTCCTTGTGGTTTTTAAGGCTTTAGGGTCGAGGGTTTGGGGTTTCGGGCGGGCGGTTGAGGGCTGAGGGGGTTTAAGGTTCAGGGGTTCGAAGCCTAGAGTCAGCCTACAGTGCAATGAGTTATGGGTTGTGTGTGTGTGTGCGTGTTTTGTCCTGGCGGTCTCGGTTTGTTTTTTCGCAGGATCGCGGGTTCTGAGGCCGTGGGTCAGTTGGCTTGGAGTTTCAGAGTTTCGACATGTAGAGTGCCGATTCGTTTTTGTTGGGGGGTTCACTGTGAAAGGGTGAGAAAAACAGATGTGGGCTTCCGGGAAGAACTGAAAAAGTGATTCATGAGACAAACTGCAGCATGCGCGATTTGTTCCCGGCAGCGCTCCGAAATTGCAACTGCTATTTCTGCTGCGCGACCTAGAAAAGCCTAATCCAGGTTCCTAGATATTTGCCATCTCAATGTGGGGGGTTCAACATTATGACTATAGCATAATATGCCCCGAAACCCTGAATTATTCTAATCCTCGAGGCAACTATATTGGAGTGATCGAAGGGGTCAAGCCTTCACCTGCCCATCAGTTGAGGACGAAGTTTCAATGTCGGTTCGCTCTCTATGGAGCTCAGAGCTAGGGTTTAGGGTTTAGGGAACCCTAAACCAATTGAAGAATGCGAAAACTCCGATTGGCGTTCTCACCAGGAGCTAGATTGCACAACCTGCGACCCCAACTTTGCGTCGAAAGGTTTGCTGGCCTCAAGACATCCCTATCAACCCAAGACCGTAAACCGTCTCAGCAGCGACAAACCTGAAAACCTGAAAACCGAAAACCTTAGGCCCTAAGCCACAGGGTTGAACCTGTAAGCCCTGAAAGCCGAAGCCCTGAACCCCATAAACCCTGACCCCCTGAAGCCCGTAAATGCCAATTTAGACCCCAAGCCTTTATAAGCCCAAAAAAGTCCGAAACCCTGAACTCAACAAAAGTTCCCAAACCCGAAACCCCCAAAACCCTAAAAGTCCAAAAGCCTATCCCAGGAGCAAATGCCGGGCCAGTTCGGCCGAGCTCGGACGTTTCCCTCACTGCCTCGGCGAGTACGGGACCGGTTGTTGGGAACCCGGCATCGGGATTGCTATAAGGGTTGAGGATAAGGCATCTGTAGGGGCTCCTAAAGTTGCGAGGGTTTTGGGGTTTAGTTTATGTATGTGTATATATATATATATATATATGTATGTATGTATTTATGGATTTGTTATATATATATATATATATATGTATATATATATATGATGTCTTTAAAGTCGTTTTGGGTTTTGGGCGTTTAGGAGCTCAGGGCTTACTTAGGCGTTGCAGGGCTTGGGTTGGGTGTTTAGGGTTTAGGCAGTGTAGTGATTCGTGATGTTGCCCAGATAGTCCGATATACAGCTTACGCGAACTTCGACTTTCAACTTGAAGGCAGGCTCCGTAAATAAGGGGGCCTGGACATTCTGCTGCGAGCTCGCTGGCCTGGGATGTGTGTTGCTGCTGCTGGGATCATTTTCACCATCATTATCCTTGCTTATCCTTGCTACGTTGATGGTCATATGTGTCGTGATATTGTTTCCTGGTGTCGTCTATGTTCTCCTTTCCTTAGCAGCAGCAGGAGCAGCCGGGACTGTGATAGGACCCTGCCTGAGAGCCCAGGAACCTGAAACTCGAAACGCGGATATCTAGAATCGCAATTAAACCTTAGTAGCTGAGTGGATACACTTTACACTTTTTGGGATAATATGACACCCTCTTAAACTAAAAGTGCACAGTTTTTGGGGCTTATGAGCTCAGCAACTAGGAAACCCCCAAAAGAGGAGCTTGACTTCCTCATAAAGTATAAATCCCGGAACGCCCTGGAACCCTCGAGCCTCTTTCTCTAAACTTGCGTCAGCAGCCGATTGCAATTGACCTTGAACTCAGGATTTCAACCAGCGGTGCCGATATCACTTAAGGAGTCTTCCTTCGTAGGGTGGCTCGAAGCAGTTCTCAGAGCTTTGAACTCTCTGGGACCGGCTCGTTTGCCTCGGAACTCGCTTCCCAGTACCATCAATCGAAGACGGCTCTCATCTTTATCCCGGTCTGATTCGTTTTCGGGGTGTCTTGCGGTTTTAGCATGTCGGCTTGCGGGCATAAGCCTCAGAGTACTGCGGGCTGTGGACGTGGGATGTGTTTTCGGCAGAACCTCCACGAGCGGTGCTTGTGCTTCATCATATGCCTCCAGGTAGTTACTGTCCCAATATGATATCACCGCATAGTAACTACTATTTGCTTAAGAACCCCCAAAAAATAAAAAAATATATTCCTTATAGGGATAATATAGGGATTATCTTTTTTATTTTTTGGGGGCTCTTAAGCAAATAGTAGGTAACTATATTCCCTCATCGTCCCTATGTAATTTTAGCGTGATGTACCCAAAACCCTGCTCTACTTCACTAAAGCCCTGCAATTCCCCGAAGCCGCACCAAAGAAGCACCCAAGATCCGAAAACGGCCCTCTCCGAGGCATCCGGGCCTCAACGCCCGGTTCTCGGATGGGAGTTTCCGTTTTGGGGCTACTTGGAGGTTCATGGGCAGTTATAGGTGGGGTTATAAGTCCCGTAATATGGGTGATAATTATAGTTACCCTCCCTTATAACCCCACTTATAACTCCTCATGAATCTCCAAGTAGGCCCTAAACCCTATACCCCTTAAAGAATCCCTATAGATCCCTTTAAAGGGACCCTTAAAAGGAACCCTTAGAACTACCCCTGTTTTGGGGCTAGGGCTTCGGGTTCAAAGATTCGGGCTTAGCGGTTTCGGGGCCACCTTTCCTCGACCAGTACCAGGTTGCTAGGCTGCTGGTTGACCAAATCTTGTGTGGGTTTAGGGTTTTAGGATTTAGGGTTTAGGGGAGCTCCTCATCAGGATACCTTAATCTCAGATGTGAAAGCCCTCCTGTTATTCATAGCCTCCACAGTACATCTATAGTAGAGTACACGAGCTTCTTCTAATTCTGAAGGCCCCTATATTCGAGCTCTTGGTTGAGGGTGTCACTTCGTGACATCTTCCGCTGGTCGAGCAGGACCCTGTTCGTTGAAAAGGTAGAGCAGCTCGCCGTGTCGGTCCCTCCAACACCTACGTTATAGTAGAATGTAGTACAGTGTAGTATGATATGTGCTTCATGAGACGAAGATCTTCCGTGATGGAAACTCGAACTTTCGGGGTCGACCTTCTGTGTGGCATCTACAACGACAACGCCAAGCCCACATCCAATCCAAGCAAGAATGTGAAAATCAGCTTGCGTGTAGGCTGTTTGTGCTGTAGTTTGATGTGTGTGTGGGGAAGGGCGCGTGCATGATCCGTCCGGGCCAATCCTCCGAGGCATGTCGCTTGGTGGCCACTTGAGCTGCCGGTTACAAGCGATATGCACTGATAGTCCACATATAGCTCTAACTTCCACGTTATGTGCGACAACCCTCCTCCAGCTATCAAGGCCCTATCTTAGACTTGATGTTTTCATGTCGAATATCTACAACAACCAGAACATCTACATTTGTTCCCATCGCCGAGTCTTCCAGGACTTTCCCACAGATTTCGGTACAACCCAAACCCAGAGCTCGGAAGCCCAACGCCCTGCGAGTTCTACAGGCGTTGCACTCCCAAACCATTAGACCGGAGCCGCAACTCCTAATCCGCCGTACACCGGAGTCCAAAAACCCGATTCCATACCCGCTGAACCGGAAAATTCTTCTCTGTGCTCCACACCCCAAGCCCGAAAGAACACAGAATGACAAAGCCACAAGCACTGTCCAATGAGGCCCAGGCACCGGTGGCAAGAAGTGGAGTGAGGCCTCTTGGGGTTTCACAGGGCTTGATGTCGGGTTTTAAAGTGTAGATGTGTTTAGTTTAAAAAGGGGTTTCACAGTGTTTCAAGGGGTTTCAGAGGGTTCTGCAGGTGTCAGCAGGGGGGACTTGTGTTGAATAGTTACGACTATTCGCACGCAGTCCTTGCCCCAAAACCCATTCGAAATTGCTGAGGCCAGATGGTTGAGAGCTTGAGGATTGTGGTATAGGGTTTGGCTTTGGGCTTGGAATACGTATCGCGTGTCAAGATTGATTGAGGGGTAGGCACTCTAGTAGGGCCCAAAGGTACATGGAGCCGTCGGGCGGGGATTGCAGTGTAGGACTGGATGTTTAGGGTGTTTCGGTTGTTTATTTACAGAAAGCGCATGCGCAGCCCAAACCTATTATGATACATATATATATATATATATAGAGAGAGAGAACCAACGACTAGAAGGAGCACTACAATTAGTTAACTATTCAGACCTATAATCCCCCCAAGTCTGAACCTTTCAATCGAAACCCTCAACCCCCAAACCAGACATCCTAAGTCTTCAGGATTGTGCCACTATCCCGAACTAGGTAACGCCAAGATCCCCAAATCCTTCAAACCAGAGCCACCAGAAACCACTCAAAGCCCTACGACTTGAGCAACCCTAAACTCCTAAAGCCTGATAGAAGAAAAGAGACCCTAACCCCCTGGGCAACCCTAAACGTAGTAGTAGTAGCAGTAGCAGTAGCAGTAGCAGTAGCAGTAGCAGTAGCAGTAGCAGTAGCAGTAGCAGTAGCAGTAGCAGTAGTAGTAGTCGTCGTCGTCGTAGTAGTAGTAGTAGTGGTAGTCGTGGTAGTAGCAGTCCCTAAAACCCTGAAGCCCCAAATCCCGAGCTTCCCGAAAGATCCCGTGGCGAGAGGTGTGCGAGCAAGTCCAGAAGCCCGATGGGTCCGTTCGTGCCGGAAGGAGATATGGGAGCTTCCGAAAATTAGGGGTACCTTTAAAGGGATCCTTTAAGGGTTCCTCAAAGGGATCTATAAGTCTATAAAGGGTTTAGGGTTTAGAGCTTCCGAAAATTAGGGGTGCCTTATTTGGGGTCCTTATAATTACGACCCTACTATTTAGGGTCCGAGCGGAGGTGCGCCTGTTTTCTTCCTTGATGATAAAAAAGCCTTCGGAGTTACACACTCTTAGCGGATTTCCCCTCAATGGAGAATGCAAGCCTTCTCGCACTCCCCCAATGAGCTTAGCTCATTCTTCAAAGCACTCAAGCTCTTCAACTGGAATGCTGCAAAAGAAATGCCAAAACGGACTGTTTGTCCGGGCTCAAGGCTTTTTGTATAGGCCAGGAATCACGAAGGAAAACATGGTATCATCCATGGCCCATCCACAAAACTTCACTAGACGCGTTAGCCTCGATTTAGGCCTGACTCATTCGCACTTCGAACTCCGTGCGACCTGTCCAGTCACCAGAGAGTCTCAAACTGGATGGCTGAAGAAAGCTGTCCTCCTCGATCAGCTGCCTTCCATCTGTGAACATGGCGTACGTTCGCCGATTCCCGGTGAGCCGAACGAGAGGAACTTCTGCTGGTAGTACTGCCCTTTGAGGTTCGAATCGGAAGGTTCGCACCTTTGCGTGGAAACGAACGAGTACACTTCTCTCAGGATCCCAAAGAAAGGAATCCTTGCGCACATGGGGTGGAATGCTTTGATGCCAATGTCCTTGGACTCCTGCCCACGGATGAGGATCTGGCCACTGCTGCCGCGGTGGAGCGTTGAACAACCATGTTGGATGGATCTGATACTGCTTCCCACCTGAACGACTGCCGTGGCCAGGAGCTTCCGATTCTCTCACGCCAGAAGTCATCCTAAGAGCTACCGATTCTCTCACGCCAGAGTGGGACGAGTCCACATGTTGAGCTGTCGAATCTTGCACCCCGGGACGGAATGGATTCACTTCTTGAGCTACCGATTCTCGCACGCCAGAAATCCTACTGATCTTTAAGACGTCGTCAGGAGCTGCCGATTCTCGCATGCCAGAGATCCCACTCGAGCATGAGCCGGATGCCAAGTCCTCAGTCCTTACAGCCTTCGTCGCAGGACTCTGAGTGCGCCTACGGGTGAGCTGGGAACCTAGGGTCCTACGAACCTCACTATCAGATCCTAACCCGGAACCCAAACCCTTTGTGCCCTCAGTGGCATTTCCGACCACTGACCATTGGTCATCTTCATCGTCACTTTGACCACGATGTCCCATTGACCTCACCGTTACAGGATCCTCGGTCTCCACTGCAGAACTTCCAACACAGGAGCGCCGCATCAAGACAACTGCCAAGACAGCCATCATCGCACCGACCGCAAACAATATTTTGGCCATTCCGTCATCACCGCCACGATCTTCAACGATGATGGTCAACTTTGATGCCACAACCGACAGGACAACAGCCAGCACAAGCGCTCGGACACCCATGGCACCCCAACGGACCTCCGCACTACTCTTGCAGCTTAAGTCTGCAATCGCGCCTACGCCGCGCAACCTGCGAACCTCAACCGATTCAACCAAGTTTGCCGGACTCTTCATTTCAAGCAGATGCACTAACTCCCTATGTCTCTGTCCTTGCAACGCTTTTGTTGCCACATCCGCGAGCATAAATCGACCTGCTAAGTGACGCATTTCGAAGAATTGGCTCTCGAGTTTTTCTCGGCCTGCCCTGGCCTTCAGCCTCAAATGCCTGGTCCGCCAGGCGCCGGCTGGGGCGCTAAACAAGCTGACACAACCCATGCTGTCACTGTACAGCAGCTTCCGAAGAGGAACCGTAGCAACCTCTGAAGCAAGACCCTCTAGCACCTCAATCATTAAGACCCCATCCATGCTACTGTACATTTCCGCCTCGGCGCTGCTCTGCGCTGTGGTGGATTGTCTATGACTAGCCCAAGCAATCACTGAACCACAAAAGACCGCAATGATTCCTGTCTGGGATTTCCCGGATGCTGGCCCGAAAGATGCGTCCGCAAATACCTCAAGGATACCCGGAGAGCGTGGTGCCGTCAACTCCTCGCATTTTCCGAAACGATTCTGATCATCAAGAGGTCTGAACACCAAACCCAAAGCCGGAGTCCCTCTCAGGTAGCGAATGATGTTTTCGGCGTATCGGGTAGCATACCGAGGATACCTAGACATGAGCTGCGCCGTCCGATTGACAGCGAAACAGATATCTGGGCGGGTTCTGGTTGTGATCCACTGAAGGGCTCCGGTGAGAGCCTGAGCTCTTTTCAGCTGCTTTGGGCTTGGGGTTTCAGGTTCGAGCTCTTCTTCTTTGAGGCACGGGACCTCGGAAATTCCTTGAATGTCGGAGAACCGCTGCAACAAGTCCTGAACATAATCCTCCTGATTAAGAAGGTAACCACCCCCTTTTAGTCTGTGCAAGTTGAAGCCACAGAAACGGATAGGCTTGCCTTCTTCAGCGGACTCTGGTTCTGAGGTAGACCAAATTGACCGGATCTCCTTCACCAATCTCTCCTTAACCGACTCTTCTGCTATGATGAGCATGTCGTCGACGTAGATGCCGAGCAATCCATGCAGCATAGGCTCCGAACCTGATTCCGTTTCCAGGCCTGCGCCCGCATGAACTCCCCCCGATAGCGGCTCGCTAACGATCTTCCACAAGTTGTTGTCTGCCACACATTGCTGTAATGAAAAGCGCCGACCACCTTCTTCCCACACATGCTGGCGAAGCAACATGTCTCGATGCGAAGACCAACGTCGAGGGGCCTCCGCAAGCCCGTATAAGGCTTTCAACACTAGCCACTTCTCGGACTCTTCAATGAGACCTAGACTGACAAGAACCCTGGGGGGGGTAACAACGACAATCTTAACCTTTTCACCCTGAGCTTTCTGAAGCTTCCTGACCAACATCTCGAAATCAAGATTGCCGGAACTCAAATCCCCAGGAGACAACACAGCCTGACCGAGACGATCTTGATACAACGGAGCACCCAGAAACGCGGTCTTGATATCCAAGCTTGCATTTCCCCAGCCCTTGATGGCTGCGACACTCGTTTGAAGCCTCACACTGACCCCATCAACGCCCCCGGCATAGAGGTCCTGAGATCTAACATGGCCCTTGGCAACATCTTCCGAAGGAGGATCACTCTCTAGAAAATTTCCACACCCTACTATTCGGGCCCTGAGTCTATTGGTTATGGGCTTCTGGGTATACACTCCTTTGGCCGGAATTACCGACACCTCCGCAAGCTCCTCTAACCTTTTGAGCTGCTCGGGACCAATAGCCCAGACGGCCTTGTGCAAGTCCTTCAAAGCAACGACTTCATCAGTCAGCGGCTGCCTCCATTGCTCCAGATTTTTCCAGACCTCAGCCTGGGAAACAATTCTCGTTTGAAGGAGCGCGCCTGGAACAGCACAAGCCTCTTTCTCAACAACTTCTGACGTCTCAAGCCCAAAATCAGGATGCAGATTCTCCGGGGGCTCCCCCGGAACCAAGCTATCACCAAGCGCAAAGGTGGGACCATCGCCCACGCTCAACAACGACGAAGGTTCACCAGCAAGCTCATGCGACGAATCAACAGGGACCTTCATCGCCCGCACTTGGGGCAGGCCTGTTTTTTCTGCCTCGCCCCATGCATGTTCAAGTTCACGCTCAACCGACGCCAACCTATGCAACGCAAACTTGGAACGGACACGCTCAAGCTCAAGCTCACAACTATCCTGTTCCTGCAACAAAGTGGCGACCCTCAAGTCTTCCTGCAACTCAGCAAGCAAGCCTGGTGTGACGCTGGTAAGGCCCTGTTCCAACTCTTCAATCAACGCCTTCTCTTCTTCACGCACAAGATGCGACAAGCGAGCAACTCTTTGATCAAAATCCTTCGGCTCCCCTGTACATCCCCACTCCCCCTCAGAGGAGTCCTCCTCTGAGTCTGTACTGATATCGAAATACTGCGGGTCCTGGCCGATTTGCGCAGCAAGCTTCGGACCTTGATGCTGATTCACAACGTCCGGAGGCAACTGAAACCCAAGTTCTTGAAGCATCTGAATCTCCTGAGGTTTGCATTTGTGTAGGCACCTTGGGGTGTAAGCCACAATCACAATGCGGTCACCTTCGGCCGCCTCCACGGCATGTCGTTTGCTCGAGTCAAACCACACGGCTTGATCATCTCCACCCTGAAAAGTACCCCAACTTTCACCCCACTGAACCAAATGTTCCGAACCTGAAGTCTCCCTTTTCTCAACCCACAATCTACCTCCACGAAACCGACTAATGGGGACCAGCCAATTTTTGGTATTCTTCATGTTCCGATCGCTGTGTGGAGCAGCGCTCATATCCCATGTGACCCTCAAAGCCGCCCAAGAATTCTGACCGTCCCGTGGAGAGGCCAAGGAACTGAGGTACCTGTTAAGAAGCTTGACCGTGTTGGGCAAAAGCTTCGTGCGATTCGTAAGGCCTATCTTGTTCCCGTACACGTAGAAACCCAAAGTCCAAGCCCTAGCTCCTACACCCTTAGCAGCTACGTCTACCGCTCGAGTTTTCGCCTGAAAGTCTTGAAGAGATCGCCGTAGGATACCTTCCACTTCTTCTCGCTGGGGAGGGCCGTCTTGCAAAAGTAGATGCTGGCAATACCTTTCTGTTTGTACGGGTGCCCAACGGTCCAGGCCAAGTAGCAAATCCTTTTCGGCTTGAGACAACAAAACATGAGCCTGAGAGATACCTAACGACTCACGATTGTTCAACGACCCTTCCTGAGCAGACGTTGGGAGCATGGCTCGAACACCCGCCGAACCGTCCTCTTCTCCTGAGGCGTCTATCGCTCCTACACCAGCTGCATCAACATTGCAATCATCATCACCCTCCACGGCGGCATCAAGATCGCAAGCACCATCACCCACGACATCGCGGTTTAGAGGAACCCCATCATCTTTCCAAAGTTCATCGTCTTTGCCATCTGAATCTTTTCCCGCTAACTCCCCCCGCGGCGCCGAGCCGTGTGGATGAAGCACTCCCGGACTCTTACCTACGACCCTTCTGCCAGGAGCAGGCAAATCTTCCAGATCCTCCACATGTGCGGTTCCAACAAACCTGACTGGCTCCATGACGTGTGTATATACTACAGGTGCCACATACAGCTTGGACTCTCCCTGCTCATGAACCCTGATGACCGTCGCATTTGGAACCCGAACCGAAGGTGCTACAGCCACTCCCTGAATAGCCTTGCTACTCCAAGGGGTCTTTCGGGACCATTCTCTTTTCTTGACCGTAACCACAGTGCCTGAAGGAACAAGAGGCCTTTTGGGAGGTTCTGCTCCAAGTTTCGCAAGACCACTTCTAAGCTTCTGCTCCCCCCATTGGCGAGCCAAGTGTGGCCACGAGTTGTATGAAAACCCACTTTGAACCATAAGACCCCGAATACCCGCCTTGCACCTACCAACCACGCCCTCAACACGACCGTTGCTTTTGGGATCTGAGGGTACACTGGCCGTCAAAGCGATGTCCCTTGAAAGGGCCCACTTCTCTAGCAAGGAGTTGGCAAACTCCCTACCAGAGTCAGAATGTATGCGCCTCACAGTGTAGTTGAGCAAACGGATTCTAGTGTAGATACGTTGCAACCCGCGCAAAGTGACAGAAGCTCGCTTACTTGAAATGGGCTCCACAAACACAAGAGGAACGACCTCCACAGGCTCCGTGAGAGTTTCGATTGTGGCCTTCCATCTATCATTCCATTGCTGAGCCCTCTTTTCCCAATCGGGATCTAGATCCAAAGCATCATCCTCTTTCAGAGGCTCATCAAGCTGAAAAGGGTCCTCAGCATCAGCAGGAACCGGCCCTTCCACGTCATCATCCGTCCACTCCGCCGGGATAGGATGATCAGAGTTTTCATCCCCTTCTGCCCAAGGTTGGGGCTGACCCTTGCGAAACAGAGGAACCCCAAGAACTCCTATCAACAAATGTCTAGCCGTCCCCAACTGATCCTCGCCTGGCTTTAGCGGCCCTATAAGATCAACGTTCAGGGTGAAGGCGTTCCGATGTTGATATTTCTGGCGAAGATGAAGATGCGAGCGAACACTCGAGGCAAGACATGTTTGACAATCACGACGGTATCCGAGGTGATCTCTTTCGCAATGCTCAATGAATGCGCGATCATTCTTGGACAACGCACGGATGCACCCTTGCTCCACTTGCATGGTCTTCTGGCGCTCTAGCGCTGGAGTGACCACCCATCTCAACACTGCCCTACCAATGGCTCGAGTAAGCCCACCAGCCCACTTCGCCCACGACTGAGATTGAAGCATACGATCCTGCAAATCTGAAGGTTGATTTACCCCGAGAGCACTCGAAGGTTTGTACCTCCCATGAAGCTCCACATACAATCCCCAATCATTCACCAACAGGGTGGTAGGTTTTACCCGAGAATGCCCTAGAGCTCCTTGTGAGAAAGATGCCCGAAACATCCCTTTTTCTTGTTCAAGAAACTTGATCTCAGGCCACGCCCAAATGCTGGCATGCTCAACCCCATCAGTCAGATACTCAGCAGGATCCCTTGGATTTTCGAGCACGAAACACACCCCTTCCTCTGAAGCTCCATGAGCCACATGATGCAGTAAGAACATACGGAAGTACATCACGGTGTGCGTATCTGTAAGCCTTTGCTCCTCCCGAGTCAACCGCGCGTCTCCGGCGAACTTACCAAATCTACCAAGCCCCATTCGATCCCGAAGAACCCTTGGACCACCATCCTGTTCCCCTCGCTCCCTTAGTCGCGATACGGTGGCACATGGAGGCCCTCCAACAATGGCAACCACTTTTCCCGAACTGCACAGTTCCAACAGGTACTGATACAATCCCTCCGACAGGATGTCCAATCCTTGTTCAAGATCTACAGAAAGAACGTACACGGAGCTGGGCCATTGACCAAAATCCTGCGCCTTGGTCTTTCCGGAGAACAGGTGTATGACGACTTTATCTGCCCTCTGAACCGCCCGGCGGATCCTTCGATTGAAAGGAATGTCCTCACCTACAAGATGGCCCTTCCAAACCGGGGGAACCCTAGCCAGGATACTCTCAGGACAATCCGGACTCAGCTTGCGCAACCATTCCAACATGGCATCTACGGAGGCAGGTTCATCTGTCCCCTTTTCACCAACCCCAATCGCTAAGGCCCTCAGCCTCAGCGCCCGCTGCATCACCAAAGCCCTCTTGTTCTCAATCTCAGCAATAAGCTCTTCAGTGAACTTAGCACAAAGCTCAGGACAGCGGTTTACCATAACGATGGGCAACTTACCACGTTTCGGATGGATTACCTGGCAAAGTTCTCCCTCCCATGAAATCTTACATCCAAGTTCCGCGGCTAGCACTCCCATGGGAACAATTGGAGCGACTGGCTCCGAAGAGACGAGCGTGCCTACAGGAGTAAGCAACAAGTCAGCATGACCCAATGCCAGGGATACTTGGGTGACCGTGCACTGATCAATTTCCCTTTGGCTCTTAGCGGTACGCAACGAGTTAGTCGCCCCGCCATCCAACAAACCACGAGCTCCCTTAGGAGGATCCTTGACGACCTTGGTGAGATAAAAGCTCTCCAAAACTTCCGATGAAGATCCCTCATTCTGTTCCGGAGTGCCCTCTGCCTGCTTGTCAAAGCCTGACTCAGAAGAATCTGGAACCCGAACCGCCGCAATCCTAAACCCCTTAAGTAGCTTAGTAGCCTCGGCAAGCAAGTCTTGCGACGATGCTTCCGCAGCCTTTGCGACCTTGGGATCCGCACCTCCAGAGCTAGAGCTAGCATTTGTGGCAGACTCCTCAGCCGTCACTTGCCTCACCTGCGATGCTTTTCCTTCCCCCTTAGGCCCGGGACCCGAAGCTGCACCCTTGGGTCCATTACCCCTGCCACCACCAGCCGAAGACGAAGAAGAGCCTAACTCCCCCCGAGGAGCATCCTCGCCCTTTGCTCCGCGCTTCCCTTGAGGCCTATGGCAGGCATCCGCCCTGTGCTCCGTGGAGCCGCAGGTAAAGCAACGTCCCTCAGCAGAGGCTTTGCCGAAGTCATGGTGCGACCAACAGGTTCTCCCCATCTTGCAGCCACCCTTCATAGCATAAAACTTGCAAGGAGCTTTTCCACCAGCCGTGTTATCCCCATTTGCATTGGTAGCGGAGGGTGCCCCTTTTCCAGCACCCTGACCTCCCTTACCCTGACCAGTGGCGTTGGAATCATTTCCGGCGGTTGCTCCTGCATCACCGCCTCCCTTTGCCCCTGCTTTTGCATTCGCCGCCTGCTCCTTACGCAATGCTGCTGCCCGCTGTTTCTTGGTTAGCTTTGTAGGTTCCTCTACCTCCAAATCCGCACCAGAGAGGGCAAGCGTTTCCATTTCCGCTTGCAAAAGCCTAGCATAAGCCGTCACCGAAGTTACCGTAGGGCAGAAGTCCAGCTGATGCTGGGTCCTAGACACATTGCATCGAAACCCTAACTGAGCGTTGGAAGCAATGACCGGTTGACAAAGCTTGTCCAATCCAGCAAGCAAGATTGCGGGATCAGGAGGATTAACTCCAAGGTCTTGTGATCTACTCAGCCACCGATGCCACCTACGCAGCTGATCAGAACAGTGACGAGCGTTGACCCCAACCCCCGGCTCCTGTAAATTGGAGATTAGCTTCTGTCGCTCTCCCAAACCTCCCGGCTGAAATGCTAGCAGGATTCGAAACACCGCGTTAGGGCTTGTAAGAGCCTTGGTCACAACCAGCTCATCCTTTATGCGAGAGGGCAAACTTTCGAGAATCATACCCAGTGCACGAGCTTCTAAGCGCGACAGCCTGGGATCCAGAAGATCAGGAGGGGTTTCGCAAACAATGAGAGACTTCTCCAGAGGACCCGCCTGCTGCCACTTTACATAAGCCCTCTGTGCCACTTCCATAACCCTTTGCCACCATGCCCAGCAACGCTCCGACAAATCGCTCATTATCGGTTGAATCTGCGTCAACCAATCCGAGACTGCAATGCAAGCATCCTCAGTACTTGGATCAGGCAAAGGCGGCAACTTCCACCATGTTCTATCCCCCGGCGTAAAGGCGTTCCTACCCTCACCCCTAGGAGACGGTGGTCCTGGAATGGAGCCCATGCCTATGCCTGAACCCAAATTTCCGCCACCCCCAGAGGCAAACAGCCCTCCTGAAGACAATCCCGCGCTTGGAAACCCTGAAAACCCTCCAGAATTCAATCCAGTACCCAGATCTCCATACGAGCCGATAGACCCTCCTACAGCGGCAACCGCACCAGCGAGGCCACGGCCTTCTGAAGGAACGGAGCCCCAACCTGAAGGTCTCAATCCCACCGAATCCCAAAAATCACCCTGCATTGCGCCCTGCACCGTGGCGTTGGACCACTCAGCTGACTGCGCTACCGGATTCAGGATCCTAGCTTCTTCACGTCTGGGTCTAGTGGGGGATCCAAACACTGGCGTAGGGGTAAGAGGTGGAGTTCCAGATGGGACTCTAGTGCCATTAGGAGTGTGCGGACTTGGGCAACGTCTAGGCGGCGCATTGGAATCGTACACAAATGACGACCCTCGAACACCCTCGCCTCCCTGCTCATTCTGACTCTTACGGGAAGCTTCTGCAGCCCTCCGAAGGCCCTCCTCAATACCTGCTTGGTAATCAGAGTTCGCCCTCTCCTCAGGCGGCACGAAACGACCCAGATAGGGGACGCTCTCCGGAGTCCAGCCTACCTCCAAACCACTAGTGCCCTTATCCCCTTCTCCCACCGCACCTACATCCCTTGTCTCTCCCGATGTTGCCGAATGCATGGCATCATTCTCCATCTGCTCTACCCTACGTTGCAATGCCCTTTGACCCTCAGCTAGCTGTTGATTTTGCTCATACAACCCTACCAACAGATTCTTCATTTCTTCAACTATCAATCTCTCCCCTGGTCGCATACCAAGCTGCTGAGCGGTGTTACCCGCCCCCTGCGGTTCCTGCCCGGATGCCGGATCACGATTAGCTGCTGCAGCCGTCGCCTGTCCAGGTTCACGATGAGCTCGATTCTCATCTACTCCCAAGCCACCATCTGGACCTGATGCAACTGGTGCTCCAGCTGCTGGTTCTCCTGCACCTGCCGAAACCGCCGCCGTAGCCGTAACTGCTTCATCTGCACCGACTGGAGTTGTCCGCAGTTCGGTCGAACTGCTGCCAGCGCTGCCTGCCCGAGCATTGCCCGCTTCATCAAGATCTCGAGGACGCGCTTGCTGAAGAGCGTGTTCCGCTCTAGCCCTTTCAGACCAGAATGGGTTAGCCGCTGTACTCCCTTCCAACGTCTCGTTGTTAGGTAAAGCCAGAAAATGCGATGCATCTCCCTGCCCAGCCCTTGACTCATCTGACCCTTCAGCGATGCTTCTACGTCTTCGAGAACCCAAATCCATGGCGACACTCTAATGCTCAAGCCCGGCTTGGGCTCATAACCTCCGAGCGGAGGTGCGCCTGTTTTCTTCCTTGATGATAAAAAAGCCTTCGGAGTTACACACTCTTAGCGGATTTCCCCTCAATGGAGAATGCAAGCCTTCTCGCATAGGGTATTATGTTAGGGTCCCCTATTTTCGGAAACTCCCATGTGGGAGCTTACAAGTAGGGTTTGAGGTTTAAGGTTTATGGGGGGGGTTAGATTTGAGGTTTTTAAGGTCATAGGTGTGAGGTTGAAGGTTTGGGGCTTTCAGGGTTTATGATTTGAGGCTTGAGGGTTTAGCGTTTAAGGTGTGGGGGTTGGGCCTTGGGGTTTAGGACACCGGCGTTAGCTCCTTCTTACAGGATCCACGACCTTAAGACCTTACACGGGACAATGGCCCGTCGACGGTTTTGCAAGGGTCTACCTGGGCGGGGTATTCTTGTTTCGCGCTCAAGTCACCCCGAAACCTTTCCAAAATCTCAACCCCTGTAAGACTTTGTGAAGCTGCACCAGGCTTTAACCGTGAAACCAGCTATATAAGCCCCCGAAACGACGAAATACTAAATGCAAAGCCGCCCAACATCACCATCCTTCCAACCCCCCCAAGCCCCAGGCCCTAGACACCGAAAAGAGCCCAGGCCTAAAAGCCTTATGGCTGTAGTCTAGAATACCCCCAAAACCCTAGTCGAATTGCTAAGGTCCCCATATCTATTAACCCCGACATATTTATAGGTGTATAAAACCCACTACTATAGAGTCTGGGGTTCCAGATTTGTGGTGAGGACCTCCCCCCCTTTCAAGTCGGCTGGCGCGTCTGCGGGGACTTCTCCGCCGCGCCCGCGGCAGGCTCCAGGCGCCCTTCGGGTGTAGTATAGGGGCTTATAGCAAGTACCCATACCAACATGCACTGGTTTGGGGTTCATACTATATGTAACTATACTAGCAGTCTGTAGGCCAAAAGCGTTCTTATGCGTGCACGTATGCTTTAACATCCAGCTTGCTGCCCATCAAGCCCTGGCACCCAGCACATGCCTGGAACAGAGCAAAGTCGGAAGCCCAAGACCACCTTGAGCCCTTCGACCACAGCTGCAGGCCTCTACCGCCGGCCGAGTCGTGGTCGCACGAGCCTGTGCGCCGGAGGAATCCCGTACAAGGCACCGTTCCGGTACTTAGGGTTTAGTTATTAGGATTTAAACAACAAGAACGACCATCCTTTATTGTGAGGTTCGGTGTGTGCAATAGGAGAAGCTGCAGGTAGATTCGGGGTTTCGTTTGCAGCGTATAGTTTCGTGCTGTTGCTTGGCAGTGATTGCGTGTTCATTTTTACTTACTGGATATAAGGCAACATTATTGAAGTCTGCATTTCTGCTACGACAATCAAGTTGTCCAATACTGGCCACGCGCTCACAGTACTGTGGAAAGACATAGCAAGCGTTCAGAGTTGGCGGAAGCCCCAACAATCCGGAATGCATGCACCCACATCTCAGAATTCCCGAGGAAACCCTAAACCCCATGAAGCCCCAGAGTCGCTCCAATTTTCGATCAGCGGCGAAGTGCTTACGTACGGAGAATCCTCAACTCCGAGGCTGTCAATGTCAATGCGGGACTTCTCGACGCAAAGCACCGTACAGCAATTCCAGAACGTACTACTTAGATAGGTAACGGGAGAACTTTAAACTTTTTGGCCTTATATGCTTGCTCTATCTTAGAAAGTTAAAACTTTTGGGGGCCCGGTTGTTGAAGAAAAGAGATTAGCTTCTCGTCGTACGGGCAACCTGTAGCTTGTAATCATTGGCTCATGGTCCAAATTTATGAACGTAGCGATGTTCAAGCAGGACCCGTCTCGGGGCGGCTCCTCCCGTGGCGGCTCATCAGGACCGGTTCTGCTTCGGTAGACAGAGCCAGAAATTCCGAATCCACGTAGAGAGCGGATTACAAAAACGGTTCCCTCGTTTTGCTGCTGCTGTCGCTCCCGCTTGAGAACGTTTCTGGCATTTCTTCTTTGGCAAAACGGTTGCGCGATTGCCACATGCAAGGGATTTACACTGAGAACAGTGGCACACGTCAGACAAGTGTTTTGTGGGTGGAGTCGATTTTGGGTTGCTGGAGCCATGGCACTGTAAGTAGGTTGTGAGCAGGGCCATATTATGTAAGATCCCAGCTAATTAGTGTACGTCATACCTCAATTACAACCTGCTTCTCACACTGCACATTGGGAAACGTTGTCATGCTCTTGGCCTTCATTGTCCTACAGAGGTCTATACAAATTTATAGACATTTTGGGAGGTGCCTTAAATTAAAACCAGACTGTTAAGGTCGTTGATCCTTTGAGGAGTCGGGCCGGTCAGGATTCGGGCCGGAGTTCTCCGAAACCCCAGCACTCTGGGGTGCTTAAGTTTTGGGGCGAGATCCGCAACAATCCCGCACTTCATGGAGCTGCAGTGGGAAAGACACTCCTCCCCGTCCCCCCCACACCCTATTGGAAGCCTTGAAACCGTTTTACTCCGAGAAACTGCGGAAGGAAAGTCCTCCCGGTCGTCGTCGCGAGACATAGCGAGGGACGGCCGCAACCTCGAGGGTCAATCTTCACGTGGGTTCGGACGCGTTCACAGGCCTGAAACCCAAAACAACCCTAAACCCGATAATGTCTGCATCATACAATGATTGGGAGAACTTTGCAGGCTTCAGAGACTTGCATCGGATTTCCTGTACCTGTCGTTGCGTACGACCCTCTGGACATCCATGTCTTCATTCACAGTTGTCACGACCTCAATGTCTTAGGCAAATTTGTCCGCAGATCTCCTTGGCTAGTTAGTGCATGACCTCTGGGTAGAGGCTTTCTTCGGCCGAAAGCTTTACATCCGGTGCAGCGAACACTTTCGGCGGTGCCAGAATGTACATCATACAGCACAGGTTGACATCGTATGGTTCCGGGTGCGCAAACAAGCCTAAACCCCAAATAGTCAAATAGACAACATGCATCAGGCAATATAGAAGGAAGTGGAGCTCAGCATAGCAAAGCACGACACAGCATGATGTGCGCATATGCGAGTTGAAGTGGCGAGAGAGCGTCAGCTATATCGTGCACCACTCATGCGAGTACCTTGTGTTTACCGTCACATTACACGACACATTGTACTGCAAGACCAGGGCCAACAACTTCAAAACATGCCCATTCAGTCGGAAAGCGCCGCTGCAGAGGAAAGGCAAGCTTCAGCTCTGTCGTACGTCGTACGAGGAATCCTGAAAGTACCGACATGGTATAAAAGAGTGTGCTAAAGCTACCCTAAAACCTACGCCCCGGTGACATGAAACAACACAGCTCAGGTGACATCTCCTCTCGCTGCTCTTCCGGCTGCCGTGATCCCAGAGCGATCCACCGTAGACTCCAATCCTCAATCAGCTCTTGGATTTGGGGTTTTGGGGTTTGGGGTTTTAGGGTTTAGGGTTTAGGGGTTTAGGGGTTAAGGGGTTAGGGGTTTAGGGGTTTGGGTTTTAGGGTCTTGTGCTACAACCAACCTCAACGCCAGACTGTAAACCACCTTAAGCCCAACGCTCCAGGCCCATTCTGCAAACCCCAAAGCTCCAACCTTAAACCCCAAGACAGCACAAACCCTAAGCCGTGAAGGGTTTGGGAGTCGAACCAGATGGGTCTGTAGAAGCCTCAGCACAAGCTTGGCTTAGGGTTCTTCACGATTCGCATTCCGTAACACAACGAGAACGAGAATGCGAAGCATATGGGTATGAAAACTTTGCCATGTTTACGTCATTATCCCATTGATGGGGATGTTTCACGGTTTTTTGTTGAACGGAAAGACACCTCGAGAAAAGATTCAGTTCAGAGCAGCCACCAAATGCTCGAAGCCTGAACAACTACCCGGGGACGCATTGGTTTGAGATGCAGGGCGCAATCCGACACTGTGGGACTGCTGCGTCTCAATGATGGAAGAGCTGGGGATGGATGTCTTGCTTTCAATTTAGGGCCGCCGGGTTTAAATTTTATGCTTGAAGCGTGGGGTTTCTACTTGGGCCTGGCGCCTTGCCACGGGCTGGGTCTGTCGACAAGGCAGTCCCTCTAGAGCGCTGCCTAGCAGTCCATGCACAGGTCATCCGTGCATTCTCTATTCAGCACTCAACAGACAGGATGTCTTGTTAAGACCGCCTGGTGAGTCTGACAGACCTGTCACTAGGTAAGAAACTTGCTGCCGAAAAGGGTTGATGGAATGTTCTGGTTCCTGCAAGGCCATCGAGAACAAGAGAGAGCGAGAAAGAGACATAAATCGCTCGAGAGAGAGGGAGAAAGGTCACCGTGTATACTGTGTTGTAATACTGTATACTGTATACATGTCATATCACAATACAGTATAGTACAGTCTGGTATAGTATGGTGTAGTATAATGTATATAGTGCAACATAGCATAGTATACAGAGAGCCCATCAGTGTCGGACAGGGTTTTGGGAGCATGCTATATCCAAAACAAGACCTCTAACATAGTAGGGTCATTGTTTTTCAGGCCCTTGTATTGCCACAGGCCCCTGCAATGCAAGCATTTGGCACCACCCTGAACTACCCTACGACCCTTGTCGCTGCCTTCGGAGGCCCCAAACTCAATGCTCTTGAGACGCTACCCTATAGGCCCTACACTACCCCAAGCCTTCGCTACCCCATGAAGTTCTTCGGCAGATCGGAAAAAGAGGCACTTAAAGCAGATCCGAATCTTTCGCCCGCCACCCCCACCCCCCCAACCCCCTCCCACATCTTGGATCCTAAGCTGCACTCGCCCCTAACAAATCTATTTGCAAAATTGGAAGACCAGTCCACAAAATTCAGCAGGCTGGGAGACCTCTACCAATTCTTCAGAGCCGATCACGGATCTGATCCCGTCGCAGCTTCGGAGTTCGGGATAGGGTTTAGGGCTTTAGCACTCTGGTTCTTCTGCCTCTAGGCTTTCGAGTTGTCAGGTTTCGTGTGTTGGTCCAAGTTTAAGTTTTGTTTAGGGTATCCATGATTTCAGGTTCAGGATGTAGTGGACGGCTACGGCATTCCAAGGCTAGGAATGGCTTGGACATGTAGTTATTGCTTTTCAGGGTACGTGGGTGCTCAGGGGACTTACTTAGTAAGCAGATGGAAAGTTGAGTTACCAGCAACCTAACATTGACTATCGTACTCTGCACCCCGTTCATATCCTGCCCACTATGTCCCATCATCTTTCAGCTAAGGAATTCAGAGTTTCTTCAGCTTAGAGCGATGGAGGGTGGAAAGCAGGAGAGACATGTTCCGTTCTCCTTCGGTTTCATCTAACGCTGCCATCGTTGCTCTGTTGCAGAAACGACAGACGCAGAGTCGAGGAGCCATGCTCCATTGCAACTTTCTGGGTTTAGGTTTCAGATTTAGTGTCAGTCATGCATCTGCTGGTTTTGGTATTGACTTGATTCTCGCCCGGGTCACAGTGCTGAGGCCAGGGATGAAGCTGCCAGGAATTGTAGAGTGTACAGCCTTGACATACCGAAATGTGTTTACCCCAAGCTGCAGCAACGAGGCAGGACTGAGTTGATTCTGAATCGTTGGAAGTTCCGGGAGTCATGTCAATGTAAGGAAGACTCGACTAATCCAACTGTCAGCTTCCTCCGAAGTCCCACTTCCGAGGCCTTGCGAACCTAGGTTACGACCCCGAAACTCCCCTTAAAGTAGTAGGCTACTAGTGGGTCTCCCCAAGCCCTCAACCCTGAACCCTCAACCACAGACCCTTAACCCTCAACCCTCCACCTTACTTACCTTTGGTTAGTAGGGAATGGAAGAATGCCGGTAGTAATAGTAGTTATTATTGTACCCCATTCCTCCATTCCCTACTAACCAAAGGTAAGTAACCCTCAACCGCTCCACCCTAAGCCGCTCGAAGAGTTTAGCAGCGAGGTCTCCCCTCGAATCGAAGGGTCTTCTGATGCCGGATCCGATCCGGACCGGCCCCGAAGAAGGGTTCTACGAGTGGCGTTGTTTCAAGATTGAACGATAGCGTTCTACAAGGGTTCGACGAGGGTAAAGGGCTAGTGGTTTCTGTATGGTTTTGTATCCAGATTCCACATAAGGCTGCACAAAGGTTCTGTACGAAATGGCACACGGTTAAAGAATGCTATAAGAGTTCTATGACGAGTGTTATCCGGGCTCTGTAGGTTGCTATAGGGGTTCTATACGTAATGGTATACACGATCTAGAAGGAGTTTTTTCAGCGGTGTAAAGGGATAAAATGGTTTTTGTATCCAGAATTCATTGTAAGGGTTCCATAAGGGTTTTACAATGGAATCTGGCTTAAGGGTTCGATAATGGTACAAGGGTTCTACAGGGATTGTTTTTCAAGGGGCTTAAAGGCATGTATAAGGATTGTGATGCAGGTTTCAAAAGTATCGCTGACTTGTTCGTGAGTGTATTCACGGGTTCCGTAAGGATGTGCATAAGGGCTGAACAAGTTCTGTAAGACTGCAAGGATTTCCAGGTCAAGGCTTTTAGCAGGGTCAATTTAGGGCCTGTCTAGGGTTTCATTCTAGAGGTGCATAGGGCTTCAAGGTTATTGGGATGTTGTTTTAGGTTGCAGGATGTTCTGCAGGGATTTGGGGCTTACAGGGTTGCTATGAAGTCCTGCGGGGTTCTGCGCGACCTCATGGCTCACAGATGCATTCCAAGTTTCAAGATTTAGTATGTACTGTTGGGCCTCAATAGCCAAGTAGAGTTTCCAACTGAAGCCCCGATCTCAAGCCTGGGGCTTGCTGCTGTCCTAGAAATCCTGAACCCCCTAAACCGCCAGCTAGACCTAGACAGGGCGCGGATTTGATGTCTCTGTATACCCCGATGTAGACGAAGTATCATGCACCCCACACTCGCTGTTCCAGCTAGGCCCCGCTATGATTAGGCTAGGGCTTGCATCGTCGCAGAGCTTCGAAGCTTCGGTCGACGACCCATGAGTGTTGACATTCTGTGGCAGTTCAGAGTTGGAACTCCTGTTCTAATTCTACGTGATTTCGATACTCTTTCCTTGAAGCCTTGCCTGGCTGGCTAAACGGGATGCGCAGAACTGTATGCCTGGGCGGCACATCCGATCAAAGCTGCACACACCGTCTACCCAGAGTGCCCGATACCCTGAACTAGAAGCCTTCAAACGTAGAGGTTCCCTTGAATAGCATGATCCAGGTTATGTTCCTTCAAAAAGCGGTAGTGGGCTGAAGGGTCAAGTCCTGGAGCCCCATTTGCGGCTCACCAACCCAATGCAGCCCTAAGTATAGCATCTTCCCGACGACAGGACTGGGATCATCCCCCCTGCGCTGCTGGCCGAAGATCATGCAGCGAGTGCCGAAGCGGTACGTGCAAGAGGCTCAGAGGTGCATATACATGCCCTCGTTCAAGGACGTGTCCATATCTCGCATGGGACAAGGTATGGTAGAACATCTTGCACTTGGCTGGTTTCATCGAGCGTTGTTCATGTCTCCTGTGTGATTGCGCATGCAAGTGTATATCTCTCCGTGTGTGTATGCCTTCCTGCATGCTTTTTCTTTAGAATGTTTGTGCTTGTGGCGTTTGTTGCAGTTGCTGCTACTGTGGCTGCAGGCGGTACAGCATCTGCCCCAGGGTTGCTTTGCCTTGGCAGTGGGGGGGGGGGGGGGGGTGCCTGGATCCATTCAGTGATGACGTTGGGGGTTCCGCGGAGTGCAAGTTCGGCACTGAAACCCCAGGCTGTTCAGTGGTGCACTTTTTTGCTTTCAGGTTTCTGGGCTCCTATTAAAAAACATGAAGCCTGAAAAAGTGTGTGTATATATATATATATATATATACTTTTTCCCAGTGTGTTACTGAACAGCCTCGATAAGCCTCAGGCCCTCATGCTCGAAAGACCTCAAAGAGCTGCCAAGGTTGA